GGTAAACAAACAAACAAAAAAGAAACCCAGGCTAAATATAATTCTAATACATTAAAAGGAGTCCTGGTGTGGCACTGCAGTTTAAAGTGTTGAACTGCAAGGTAAGTTTGAACCGCAAGGTCAGCAGTTCAAGCTTACCAGCCACTCCTCAGAAACCCTATTCAGGGTTACTATGGGTTGGAACCCACTTGATGAGACTTAACAGCAACAACAATACATTTTAAAAAGTAAAAGGACGAATAAAGACATACCTAAATTTAATGAAAATAAAGCTGGCATATGTATATACATTAATTTCAGACAAAACAAACTTTAGAATAAGAAAAACTATCAAGCATAAAGAAGGGCATTTCTGAATGAGAAAGGGTCAAATCTCCCAAGATACAGCTACCTATAATGTGCATGCAATTAGCAACAAAGTGTCGAAATACATGGGGCAAACCAGATAGTACAAGGAGAAACAAGACAAATCCACTACAAATGGGGACTTCAACACCCCTCTCTCAGTAATTGACAGATGCAGCAGGCAGAAAATCAGTAAGGATATAGTTGAACTGAGCACCACATCAATCAACTGAATTTAATTGACATTTATAGAATACTTCATGCAACAATAGCAGGTATACATTCTTCACATGCAGCATTCACCAAGACAGACTACATTCTAGGTCATAAATCAGACTTCAGAAAATTTCAAAGAATATAAATCATACAAAGTATGCTTTCAGACCACAATGGAATTAAACTAAGAAATCAATAACAGAAAGGTAACTAGAAAATGTCAAAATATTTGGAAATTAAATAACATACTTCTAAATATCACAGAGATCACACAAGTGGTCTCGAGAAATTTTAAAATATTTTGAAGTAAAGAAAAATGAAAATATGACATCAAAATTAAGGGAGTAACCCTTACTTACTACTAGTGAGAATGCAAAATGGTCCAGACGCTGTTTAAACATTTTGGCAATTCCTCAACATAGGGAGCGCGGTGGCTCGGTACAATAAGCAATGTACTGTGAACTACAATGGCGGCAGTTCAAGAGAACCAGCTGCTCTTCAAGAGAAAGATAACGCTTTCTGCTCCCTCAACAATGTACAGCCTCGGAATATACTCAATGGCATTAACAACCAAAACTGTTAAATGCCATAAATTTCAACTCATAGCTACCCTGTATAGGGTTTCTGAGGAGCAGCTGGTGAGCTTGAACCACCGACCTTGCAGTCTAGCACATTAACCCACAGCGCCACACCAGGGCTCCAATATATTAGAAAAGAAAGAATATCTAAAATCAATAACCTAAGCTTCCACTTTAGAACACTAGAGAAAAAAGAGCAATATAAACCCAAGGCAAGAAGAAAAGAATATATCAATATTAGGGTAGAAATCAGTGACACTGAAAATAGGAAAACAATAGAGAAACTCAATGAAGAAAAAGCTGGTCTTTGAAAACAGTCTATAAAATTGGTAAACTTGGTCATTGGTGATATTGGTTGTGTGCCAATGAATTAGTTCTGACTTACAGCGACCCTGTATAGGGTTTCCGAGGCCATAATCTTTTTGGGAGCAGAAAGCCTCATCTTTCTCCTGCAGAGCAGCTGGTGGATTTCAACCGCTGACCTTATAATTAGCAGCCCAACACATAATCCACTACGCCACCAGAGGTCCTAGACGTCATTGTTGTTGCTGTTGTAAAGTGCCATAGAGTCAGTTCCAACTCATAGCCACCCTCTACAGGGTTTCCAAGGAGCAGGAAATTAAAACTACCACACTTCTATCAGACTCCCACTGTGGTACTGGAGGAAAAGCACTGGACCTCAAGGTTGGTTTGAACTACAAGGTTGTTGGTTCAAACTCACCAGCCGCTCCTCAGAAACCCTATACAAGGTCACTATCAATCGGGACCAACTCAGCGGCACTTAACAACAGCAACACATCTATCAGAAGAAGCCCTGGGGGTTACAAGTTGGGCTGCAAAC